TAAGCACAGTGCTCTGCTTTTAAGGCAGGCCCAGTGCGGGGGTGGAGAGTTACTGACTTTGGGGGGTCTGTACCTCAGAGATGGTGCAGAGGTGGTGCACGCTGGAGGGCGGCTTCCTGAGTTACTACGAGAGCGAGCAGACGGCCACAGCGATGGGTCGCATGGACCTGGCGGAGATGGTGACTCTGGCAGTGTGTAGGGTGGACACCCCCCACAGGGTCAGGTGAGTAAATGCATATCTTAATTAGTGCCAAATAAATGTAAGACGTTAAGTGCCACAGGCAGTTGCTAATAGCCCCACCATATACACACAAAAGGCCAAATTATATATTTAGTCAATTATGCAAGTAGCAACCAACTACTGTGGGAAACACTGGGCTAAAAACATCATACTTGCACATAATAATGCGCAGTTACTTTTTATTCCATGAACATGAAGATATAGGAAAAAAAATTAATAGTAGTTGTGGCATGAGCAAAAGTTTGGGCACCTTTCCACTTGTCCCTTGATGATGATTTTTTTTGCCTGGTCCCTGGCCCAAATCGCCTCATTAGGTTTTAGTCACCATTTAGTTGTCACCTGTTAACAGTTGCAGAGCTTAATAAGTTCCCTGCCACTTCAAACATTGGGGTGTTACTGGACAACCATGAGCTCCTCTAAGCAGCTGAGTGAGGACCTGAAAATGAAGCTAAATGATGCCTACAAAGCAAGGGAAGGCCAAGGTACGCTTCCAGCTCCCAGTTTCTGCTGTCCATGGTGTGCTCAAGAAATGGCAGTTAAGGGAAACTGTGGAAGTCAAGGCAAGATCTGGAAGACCAAGAACACCATATATGCTGGCCAGAAAGGCAAAGGAAGAACCACATGTTATTGCAGGATCTACATGAAGGTTTGGCTGGCTCAGGAGTGGTGGTGCCCTTTTTCAGAGGTGGAAATTTCAGGTCCAGAAAGTACAAATCCAGACCGTGATTTAGTTTCAACCAACCAGTTGAGCATAAAGAGTCACAGTTACAGAGTACTCCACTGGTTGGTTGAAACAAAATCCTGGTCTGGATTTGTATGTTCTGCACCTGAAATTTCCACCTCTGCCCTTTTCCATGGTGAATCACAGTGTCAACAAACATGATCAGCACGGAAGAGTCATCAGGAGGAAGTCTAACCTGCGACCTCATCACACAATCCAGTGTTTGAGGTATGTGAAACAGGATCTACAAAAGCCAAAGGCCAAGTGCCATGGACTGATGAAGCAGAGATTGAACTGTTTGGCCATAATCACCAAAGGTGTGACTGGAGAAAAAAGAAGAAGCTGAGAAGTAGATGGCTTCTGAAGTCAGACAAAGATCCTTAACGTCCGTAAAAATCATCCATGAGCTGCTTGAAGGAAAGCAAGTTGGGGGTTTTGGAATGGCCCTCACAGTTACGCAGCACAGCAGAACAGCCCCTACAAGTCCCTAATAGGGAGGCATATTTTGGTTTTAGGTCCCTGCAGACTCTGGTGCGGAGGATTGCTATCCCCGAGTCTGCCTCACTCCCCGCAGGCTTGGCCTAACGAGGGCCCTTGGGGGCCTCTGTGCAGCGGGGCATCATGCTAACGTGCTCTTGCATGAATGGCCCTTGCCGATTTGTCTGCTGTGACTCCTTTTAAAGCTTCCTGTGATCTTCCACCAACGCTACCCTGTCCCTTTTCAGGAAGGGATGAAAATAAAACTAGCTCTTGTGTGTTTACACCGGGTTAGTCAAAATATACAGTAAAAGCTCTAGTGTCCAGCAGTATCGGATGGCTGAATTTTCTGGAAAATGAAAGACACAGAATTTCTTACTTACATTAATCCTTATTTTCACGTGCTACAGTGTCACTGCCACACACAAGATTACGAGGTAAACCATGACGCTTTTTAAGCATACACAAGAACTGACATTTGACATTTGCTTTTTTTTTTATTATTTTATTAGCTTGGTATTATTTTTAAATATAGGATATTACTACTTCTCATTTTGTTTTCATACTGATATGAATATAGCATGATATAGCATGATTTGTGTGCTATAGAAAACATAAATGTAGACATTAGGAAATGTATGTGGTCTAACACCCCGTAGATAGGTGTGCTGTAACACCTTATAAATGCGTGTACTGTAACAGCGTGTAAATGTATGTACTGTAACACCTCAATGATGCTTTTGTTGTAACACCTTATAAATATGTGTCCTGTAACAGCATGTAAATGTGTGTACTGCAACACCCCGTAGATGTGTGTACTGCAACACCCTGTAGATGTGTGTACTGCAACACCCCGTAGATGTGTGTGCTGCAACACCCCGTAGATGTGTGTACTGCAACACCCCNCTGCAACACCCCGTAGATGTGTGTGCTGCAACACCCCGTAGATGTGTGTACTGCAACACCCCGTAGATGTGTATGCTGCAACACCCCGTAGATGTGTGTGCTGCAACACCCCGTAGATGTGTGTGCTGTAACACTGTATAAATGTGTGTACTGCAACACCCCGTAGATGTGTGTACTGCAACACCCCGTAGATGTGTGTACTGCAACACCCCGTAGATGTGTGTACTGCAACACCCCGTAGATGTGTGTGCTCTAACACCGTTGCTGTTATTTCTGAATCTGGTCCCCAGCTCCAAGGCCGCCTTCACCTTCGAAGCATTCCTGACGGCAGAGCGCGTCTTCACTTTCGGCACTGAGACGTCTGAGGTGCGCAGGCAGTGGCTTCAGGCCCTGGCCAAGGTACGCTGCATGTGCACCTCCTCCCGGCCTCTGCTGGGAGCCGTTATTTATTGTTCTATTAAGTGATCTGGCTGACAGCCTGATCTTCAGTGGGGTGCCCGGCCCTGTTGGACTACTGGAGCTACTGGGATTAATGAGTCGTTTGATGGTCCATCCTGCATTGTCGTCATACACACTGCAGTAGCTGCATACACATCTGCCTTTTAGTTGACCCTCCACTAGCACCATCTTGCCCGTCGTATTCTCCACCTGTTCTTAAGCCGTACTCTTTCGTACTTCACTCCTTCCTCTTCCTTCTGTGCCCCTCAGTGCTTCGTCCCTCTGCCCGTGGCCCACTTGCGGGACAAAGACTACGAGCTGATTGGGCGCCTCTACTTCAAAGATGGTCATGACCTTAACTTCTGGAGGGTTGGCTGGTTCACCCTGGAGGAATCCAACCTGTACTTCAGCTCTGGGGAGGGCGACAGCGAGTCCCACCTAGGGCTGGTCCAGCTGAAGAGGCTCCAGGAGCTCAGTAAGGCCGTTTTCCGGCTTCCATGATTAGTCCTGAGGCAGGAAGTGAGCTCCTGTACAGAGAGATGAGCTTGCAGCGCGCTGGCTTCATGCTAACTGTGATTCTGCAGCGGTATGTAAATGTAGCTGCTCACCCACATTCTCCTCTTGGTGTCAGTAATCATGCAATACCTCAGCATAGCTTTTAATAGTTACATTGCATTTTGTGTTGTTGTACTTGTAGCAAGTAAGAAGCTCAGGGACTAAAAAAGCTTAATGGTAGAAAGTGAATGATTGTCGCATGTTATGGGAAAGTGGCGTAGCTCACATACACACACATACACACACACACACACACACACACACACAGAGGGTAAACATATCCTTATGGGGACCGCTCATTCATTTCAATGGGAAAAATGCTAACGCTAACTATGACAACCTTAACCCCTACCCTGCCCTAACCATAACCATAAGTAACCTAACAAAATACAAGAGTTTTTGCATTTTTAGTTTTTTTCATAGCAGTCACCGATTTTTATAAAATAGAGTTTTCCCTTATGGGGACCAGGAAACACAGCGACACATACGCTCACACACACGCACACTCACACATGCGCTCACACACATGCACGCTCACACATGCGCTCACACACACGCACGCTCACACATTCGCTCACACACACACACGCTCACACATTCGCTCACACACACACACACAGGAAGGTAAGATACTGTAAGTGCACCAACATCCCAGTAGATAACCCAATGCCACCGTTTTCCCTAAGACAGATCGTCCATTTTTAGCAGATCGTTCCTTTGAGGCCCCGGCCTTCGTGTCTCTGTGGGCTGAGGCGTGACCTTATATCTCACATGACTGCGAGGGACTCGCCGCCGTTCCACTCTGCTTGCTGTCAATAGAGTCTCTTCAGACACTGAGGAAATTAATTCCTTCCAGAAGGTGCCAACTGGCCTGTGGATGGGGGGGGGGGGGGGCCTTTGCCGCCTGGATTTGCAACATTTCAATCGATTGCACCAGAAAGATGTGGGGGCAGAAAAAAATCTATAAATCGTTTATTCTGGTTTAGGTCTGAGTGTGGATAAAGTCAAGCATGCAAGTATCTGCTAACTTGAGGCTGGATTACAGATCTGTTGCCTCCACAGAGTCAGGCCTCGCAAAGCCATTTACAGGGACTCCTGCCCGGTGCCGGTCTGCGCGTATTGGCCTGATAAAGCCCATGAACACACACAACTGCCGATTGCTACTCCAATGAACATTAAACTCCTTTAACCAAGCAATGCATTCTTCACGTATGCAGCCCTTTTGTTTGCGCTAATGTGCCGTTACTCTTAATAACAGCAGCGAATCTATCACCCTCAACCAAAAAGCCATAATCTTCCTAATAGAGTGGCTGCTCTGTCTTGAAATCGTAAAACTGAAAAGTTTTTAAACAAAGTATGTATTATATAAAACCTTGGCTACATAGATGTATTTTATTGGTGGTTTCATGTTTGTTGAAGTTTCTGCTTTTTAACTTTAACTATAAAAAATATATACAACTCAGGTGAAACACATAATTGAAAAATGTTTGTTTTCAGGGTTGCTGACTCACGCATCTTGCGAGACACTCAGGCTTTCAGACTCTCACACTCACGCTTTCGGACTCTTGAGAAATCTTACATCAAATATATTTTATTCTATTATAAACCTAAAATTAGCTACATCACACATACATGGAGTAGTTTGAAAACCTTTCAGACTATTTACAAGGTAATAAAATTTTCATACTGTACATGTAAGTGTGTGCAGACTTGTCTGAAATGACCTGTAAAATGCACTGTTTTCGACTGAAGCGGCTTGTCATTCCCTGTGCACTGTAACTCCGACACATACAAAATATGAGAACATTATTTGTGTCACTTTTTATATCTTTTCGGAGTGATAAGACCGCCCAACTGTAATAATTAAAGTAATCAGTTCTTTGGTATTTATGTTTTTAATTTTTATTACTGGTGTGGGATTAAGATAAATTTCACAAGATGAATCTATCAAAACTAATAGTTAAATCAATGATTAGAAGAACATATACTGTAACATAAACACGATTGTATTGTGGGTTTTACGGCTTTTTTAGGGTGGCAGTAACCTGCTGTGCAGATTACTGACTGTCCCATTGTTTTCTTTACGAGTGAGTAGTATGCTAATACGATGGCCCATTAACAAAAATGAAAGGTGTGATACAGTATGTAAAAGTATGTGCTGCTGGCAGTTAAAGGAGGTGAAAAAATGCTGGTAGTTCTACAGCTAATTCACCACTGAAAAGGATTCCCGGAAGGTATGCTTTTTAGTATATTGTTATTTTTTAAACGACCGTATCTGCAAACTGAAACATCAGTTCCTCATGCAGAGGCTGGTGAAGACAGGCAATTGAAAACTGGTGTGGTGACGTTACCATCCACTTGGACTCCAGGGCAGGATGCTGCACTCGTTCTGTCGACGATGGGAGAGGAACAATAACTGCGACCATCGCAATTTGTGGCGTGACCAGAACTGAAAAGAATCTGCCTTGTTTCACAGTTATTTAGTCATCCGTGTTCACATTCATCCCATAACTATGAAGTAATGCAATAACAGGTAATCATAAGGGGTTTCATTTCCATAGTTTTGCCGTGCAATTCAATTTGTTATGATATTAAGGTGCTTTGAAATTGCACAATAATATAGTATTGATTTTGGTCAAACCTGAGTTGATGCAGTGAACACCAAATGTAATAATATCTGTAGGTAAATATGTATTTACATGTAACTTAATCACAAATACAAAATATAACACTTAATACAAAAAATTGCAGGAGACTGGAGGAACACATTTTCCAAAACGCAGGACTAATTAAATTGAAGTACCTCAGAAAGGGGCCTATTTGTATTTCTCAAAATGTTTTTTGGAACAATGTCAACACCACAAGGCCTAATACATTATTTGTTCCGTTGTTTTGAAAGATAAGGAGTTCATGCTTTCCCGAGATAACGTGGCTTCAAAAGGGCCCTGCGCAGTGAACGAGGAGGAAATAAAAGCAAGAAGGCGCTTTGAAGGTCAGCGAGTAGCGAGGGCAGCGGGCTGCCCTTGGAGCTGAAATGTTTGTTTTTCATATCAGAAGTCAGAAAGTGCTGCCGACTTGCTGTTTCCATGCCACTTGTTTGGACGGTGTTTTTGAGGGCTGATGTTTCTGTGCTCATTCAGCTCATAGGTGTAGCATATCCTGTCTCTGAAGAGCGACAGGCTGACCATTCTGTCAGCTATCGAGGCTTCTCATTGGTGGAGCCCTGCCGGGAGGTTTCATTGGCTGGCTGGTGTCCGCTGCAAATTTGATCATATTTTCCCCCCATATAAACTGTGTCAAGGATGGTTTCAGGCAAATATTTCTTCAGAATTAGTTAAATTGTCCAGTTATTGTGAAATTTAGTGACAGAAAACTCACCCTTGAGAGGGAGACTAACTGGGTTTAGCAATGGAACAACCAGAACTTTTCGATATCATGGTTGTTTGAAATCTCCTCATACATCCATTTGAATTAACTACATTTCGGGTCCAGCCCCCCATAGGGTGAGGGGTTAGCGGAAGCTGGCTAAGAGTCAGTCTGGGTGCATCACTAGTCACACATGCAGCTACGCCAGACGGTCTCAGTCATCTTTACCATATTTGATCATTTCACTATATGGTGCAATGTGAGGCTTGTCCTAGAGATCAGAGGCAGGCTGGGACCAGAACAGAATGAGAGGAAGGTACAGGTCCGATGGCACTGAGGTCTCCCATGATCTGTGACCCTGGCCGTCGCTCGAAGTGTTGGGCTAGCCTCTGAGTCCCCCTCATCACCGGCGTGTACCGATGCCTTCAAATCACTCTGCTCTGTACAAGCTCTGGGTCCAATTACATCATGTCCTGCTTTCTAATGGAGGCGGCGGAGAGCGAGCAGTGTGAGGAGAGAAGAAAACCCTGCTGGCTTTTAAAAGAGACTATTTGAGGCCTTTTGACATTTAACGGCGGCACATTTGCACATGTGCGCAGAACAATCACATGCGTCTGCTGATAATATTCATGCTTTTAGAGTCTGATGGAGTTTACTGTCTGCCTCAGTACCATGTGTGTTTTCTTGACCACCTTTGATTGCATGTTAGAATGATTGCCTTTGAACTGCATGTGTTAGCATGACAGCATTTGGACTGTGTGTGTCAGCATGACCGCTTTTGAACCCTGTGTGTTTGCATGACCAGTTTTGGACCGTGTGTATTTGCATGACCGCCTTTGGACCCTGTGCGTTTGTCTGACCAATTTGGACCGTGTGTGTTTGCCTGACAGCTTTTGGACCGTGTGTGTTTGCCTGACCGCTTTTGGACCGTGTGTGTTTGCCTGACCGCTTTTGGACCGTGTGTGTTTGCCTGACCGC